AAGAAATTGAGTGACGCTTGGAGAAATAGTCACTTCAAGAATCGTTTGGATTCTTTTCTCCCTGCACGCCAAAAGACTGTTGGACGAGTTGGTGCACAGTAAGTCGTCGACGTAGGGAACTAGGAGAATGCAATTCCCTAGAAATTCGAGTCTATACATTCCAGGATCGTGGGGCAGCTGCACGAAGTCGAGTGAAATCAGCACTTTGTGAAGATGATGCTGCCATAGGCGAGGGGCCTTCTTAATGTCGTAGAGTGATTTAAGTAACTTGCATATGTGGAGTCCACCGCCGTAACTGTGAGGGGGTTCAACGAAAATATCTGCATCGACGTCTGCGTACAGTGGCAGAAAGAATTGTCCGCATGTTTTGCACTTTTATGAATTTAGGTCGACTAAGGGCATGTGTACATTAAGCCTTATTTGAAGGCCTTACCCACTGTATGCAGGCCAATCTAAGGATACAAGGAAATGCTTTACATTTGATGAAACTACTATAGTTAACAAATAAAAGCAGACATAAGCAATCACGGTACATCTGGACAATTAGTTCCAAGCACAGGCAGCAACTTTCACAACCCTAAAACTAGTACCTGGTCCAACGCCCTTTCGCCTTTATCACCGCCTCCACTCTCGTGGGCATGATGTCGATCAAGTTGGTGCACACCTTTGATGGGATCTTCTCCCATTCCTCCTGTACACGCTCCCACAGGTCCACCATACTAGTGGGAGGCTTCTCGTGCTAAGCCAGCTCCTTCTTGAGATGATCCCAGAGATGCTCAATGGGGTTCAGATCGGGACTTGAAGAAGGCCACTCTAGCACCCTAAACTCCTGCTCTTGAACCACTGCTGCACCAGGCGGGACTTGTGCTTGGGGTCGTTATCATGCTGGAAGATCACATCCGAGGGGGAACGCTCGTAAAAGTCGATGGTATTCTTCAGCTCTATTCTTCAGCTCGTCCTGCAAAATGCTTCGATACAGCGGCTCGTCCATCCTACCATCGATTTTGCACATGAAACCCGCCCCCTCATACATCATACATCCCCAAATCATCAAGCACCCGCCCTCATGTTTCATGGTCTGCTTGAACTGGTGGTGTTGGAGGGCCGTACCTTCACGAACCCTGGCGTACGTGTGGCCGTCAGAGCAGAACCTATTGATCTTGGTCTCATCCGACCAGATCACCCGTTTTGAATTCTCAACAGTCCAATCAGTGTGGGCGCGTGTGAGATCGAGCCTATCGCGGATGTTTTTCTTAGAGAGGCGTGGCTTCTTACGCTGTTGGACTGTGACCAGGCCGCTAGATTTGAGCATGCTACGCACCATCCTAGAATGAACCGTAACGCCGTGCTAGGATTCGACGATCTGGGTCGCGTGCTTTGAGGTTTTCGCCTCGCCGCAAGTAATCGCCCTAATGATCCCATGACGAATTCTATCCATAACTATGCATGGACGACCAGCCGTGGGCATTGAAAGACGCACATCCTCGCGGCTAGACTCAGAAATTGCCTTGATTCCTGGATCATGTACGGTACTTTTCCCCACACCAAGCTCCTTCGCGATTCGCCTCGTGCTAAACCCCCTCCGCAACAGGGTTATGATCCATGCGTGACGCGCCTCATCTAACGGTCTCATCTCGGCCTAGTCGAAGCCTCGGGTATAGCCTCTTTCCTGACTAATCAAAACTTGTGGGAGCAACTATGGAGATTATGCGGCTCCATCGTCGACGCAGTACCTTAGTCGACGCAATTCCCCCTGCAGAGTTTTCTGCTATAACGGGAGCTTCTGCGGAAGTGCCTGACGCAGATAGAGCTCTATAGCTCTGTGGTTCTCTAAGGAGAGAGTTGCCTTCAGAATTGTGTGTTTCACTGAGCAGCTTGAGAAAGCTTGGGCATACAAAATTCACTAGAATCAAGATTACAAAGTATGGTACACAAGGCAAACACTAGTACTACCCCATTGAAGCTCATTGAACACGGAGAGAACGTTCGCACGAGAACGTCTACATAACTACTCTAAGCTGCGCTTAGCCAAGTCAGCAATGGTAGGTGAAAATTACAGCACATGCTTAGTTGGTAATTTTTACCCACTTAGAAGTACTGTAGTTGTTTTGGAGTTTCAAATATGAAACTGTCCGATGTTACACACATTTCCGCGGTTACGAAATGTGCGTCACGTGTTCAGTTTCTCAATGTCGCAGGTAGATTTTGCCGTTTTTCGGTTCAGATCGGTTCTGTGGTAAACTTACGAAATCGCAAATTTCTCGTGATTTCGGAACGTTACCTTCCGCAGAAAAGCTAAGTCCCCGATTTTCTCTCGAAGGGGTCGCTTGCAGAAGCGAAGTCCGAGATGACTCTTTGCCGCGCTTCAGCCGAATTTCGTCTCTGCCGAGGGGGTCGACAACAGAAGAGATATCCGAATTGCCTTTCTGCCGAACTTCGGCAGAACGCAATTCTGCGCGAACAGATCCTTGCGCAAGTCTGCCCGAGGTCCTCTTGGAACGCATTTTCGAGAGTCGTTTCTGCCGAATGGGTCGCCTGCAGAAATGTCTTCTGCGCGATTCTTTGGCAGAGGACAACCCTTCTGCAAATGGCCCCTGGTGCCAAATCGGCAGAGGGTCCTGTATACTCTCGATTCTGCCGAGACCGCTTCTACAGAAGCACATGTCGATGTAGAAGCCATATGCAGAAAAAGCGCTCCTGTTCTGCCATTCCGACAGAACCGCTTTTCTGCCACCAACGAAAACTGCTCCTCTGCCACTTCCCGCAGAGCCTCGCCTTGTCGACAAATCTGCTCTTCGTCGATGGGCCTTTCTGTACGGCTCGTGTCCGCAGACTTCGTTGATATGCCGCTTCAGCAGACTTCTGCAACCTTCGCAGGATCAGGGCTATTCTCAACACCCCCACCTGGGGAAAACGTAGTCGACGGCCGGTGGCTCTTCAAGGTGAAGCACTCTCCTGGAGAGCCGCCTGTCTTCAAGGCGTGCAACATTGCTCGAGGCTTCAGTCAGCGTGAGGGGGTGAACTTCTTTCAGACCTTTGCCCCGACCCCGAAGATGACCACTCTTCGGGCACTACTACACGTAGCAGTACAGCGTAACTACGAGCTACACTCTCTCAACTTCTCCAGAGCTTTCCTCCAAGGCATTCTACACGAGCAGGTCTACCTGCGCCGCCCCTAGGGCTTCTCCGGTACCTTTCCCCTTGGCACCGAGTGGCTCCTCCGGCGCCCCGTCTACGGCTTGCGACAGGCGCCCCATGAGTGGCATGACACGCTGCGTGCTACACTTGCTGACTTGCAGTTCTTCCATTCGTCTGCAGACCCCTCGCTCTTCGTCCGCTCCGGCCGAACCCTGTTCTACATCCTTGTCTACGTAGACGACCTGTTCTTTGCTACTGCAGACAGAGACGAGCTGGCCTCCGTGAAGGCCGAGCTGCTAAGGAGACACGCCTGTACTGACCTAGGAGAGCTGCGCTGCTACCTTGGCTTGCAGATCTCCAGGGACAGAGCAGCGCACGCCATCACTCTCTCACAGTCACACTTGGTGCGTCAGGTCCTTCAGAGGTTCGGCCTTCAATTCTCTTCCGCACAGCCCACCCCTCTGTCAGTAGACCACAGAGTCTCTGCTCCTGTCAAGAGGAGGCTGTAGAGCCTAGTGGTCCCTACGCAGAGCTGGTGGGTTGCCTCATGTATCTGATGACTTGCACTCGTCCAGATCTCGGATACCCTCTCAGCATCCTGGCTCCCTTTGTGGCGCTTTGGAGACACCGACCACATCACTGGTCGGCAGCTAAGAGGGTTTTGCGTTATATAGCAAGTACATCAGGCATGGGGCTAGTGCTAGGAGGACCTAGACCAGTGGTCTGCACCAGGCACACAGACGCTTCTTGGGCAGACGACGCCGAGACTCTCAGGTCCTCACATGGCTATTGTTTTGTCCTTGGTGTAGGTGCCATCTCGTGGAAGTCCACCCGCTCCTCGTCTGTTGCCCAGTGTAGCTGTGAGGCTGAGATCTACGCTGGTGCCATGGCAGCACAGGAGCTCTGCTGGCTGACCTTCTTGCTCACCGACCTGGGTGAGCGGCCTAGCTCTGGCCCGGTTCTGTACGCTGACAACAGGGCCATGATCCTCATGTGTCAGGAGCCACGACTTGAGGGCAGAGCGAAGCACATCCAGCTGCGGCACTCCCTCCTGCGTGAGCTGCAGCAGCATTGCCAGGCCCGCGTAGTACATTTGGCCTCTGGTGCCAACGCAGCTGATATCTTCACTAAGGCACTTGCGCCTAAAGATCATCAGCGGCTCTGTGTACAGCTAGGTCTCGTTCCAGTAGCCTCTCACTTGCTAGGACCTTGATTGTGTACAGACCTTTATATGTATTACCCTGACTGGCCTTGTGGCCTCTTCCCAGTGGCTGGACTAGTAGTGCTTCCTTGGTCTTGCTCTTGCCTTGTCTGTACTCGTCTGATTGGTCTTTAGACCCCTACCTTAGAGGTTGGACTAGTAGTGCCACCCTAAGCTGCTTCTCTCACCAGGCATTGCCCCTATCCAGTCTAAGGGGTGTGTCAAACATATCTTTGTATGTTGTTATAGACTATACAGGGTTGTGCCTTAGGGAGTACAACCCATTAGGTTATATTCCCTTGTATGTCACTGTTCTAGTCATTTCTTCACTTCAACAGGCGGGGCTTCAGCAGCGGAGCCAAGGAGTGTGCCGCCCCGTGTGGCGCGCTGGCTGCATGGGAGCGTGCTGGCCAGCGCTAAGACCGGGCGCTGGCCACTGCCGTCCGTGTCGTCTGTGCGATGGCGCGTCGACGACGCCAAGGCAATACGACGACGCCGTCACGGCAGCACGACATGGCCATGGCGGCGGCGCGGAAAGGACAGGAGGGAGGAGCGAACGTTGCGGAAGTGTGATAAGCAGACCCAGGAGGAACAATCTGCTTTGAAACCATGTTGAGATAGCTAGGTTAGTAACTAGGAGCTAGGCATAGGAAAGTAGCGAGAGGTTTAGGCTAGGTTTAGGTTTAGGCTAGAGAGAAGAGTTGTGGAATAGAAAGAGGGCTGAAAGAAGGCGGTTGTACCCTCTACAGTAGGATCCAGGATATGCAGTACACCTACCTAGCCTAAACACACACACACACACCTACACTGATTTTTCTAACGAAGCTGTACACCTAGTATGAACTTTCAGTATGGCTTGTCTGGACGATTAGACGAATTAATTAAGCCCATAAAAAAATCAGATGAATGGGAAAAAAACAGGTCTGATTTTCATGAACAGAACACTTTTGTGCTAAAAATGTTTTCAGCAAAAGTGTATGAATGTCACCTCTAAAGTGAAGGCCTGTTTCAGCCGGTAAACGAACCCGAGTCTGCACCGAACTCATGACAAATGCTATTCCAACACTAGACCGCTGGCACTCTGGTATGAGGATGTGTAGACAAAACAATATTTAACAAACTAAGATGCTCATGACAGCTCACATTATGAGAAGTGGTACAGCAGAAACTCCTACTCCACACTTATGCAGCTCGTACAGACGTTCAACAGTGGCGATAAACTCCGCATGCATTTTCTGGACTGCAGCGTCTAGGCTTGCTTCACCCGCAGGTACTGGAACTGGTTTCCCCACCACAAGAGTCATTGGCTTCTGATGTGGGATGGGCGTGCCCCACCTACCCCAAAACAGCATCGGAGCAAACATCAACTTACGAGACAGAGCAGTGTGGAAAGAGCTGCGCGGGAACCAGTAGCTGTACACGTCCTTCTGACCGAAGGAGAAGATGGGAATTATGGGAACGTTGGACTCCACTGCCAGACGTACGAAACCCAATCGCCGCTTCAGAAACAGTACCTGCAGTATCCAAGACATTCAGTCAGAACATTTAAAGCGCGGGGTCTAGGTTTACCAAATGTTGAGCATTTGCGTCAAAAGGATTGGGTTTATTGGTTAGCGAGCTACGAGATGTACAACTTCCTCGCCAGCTCGAGCAAACCCCAAGCCAATTCGCCCAACCTCGTGACAAAACCCAACCACACCACACCCAGCAAACAAAACAAAGCTCCCAACCAGTACAACAGGCTCGGCACAAGGTCTCGTGCCCATCGGTTCGTGAATTGTGACGCCAACACTCCGCTCTCTGAGACGGGTTGCGACCAATCACCAAGCGCATGCGACAAATGTGTGCACCTAAACAACTGCCAGCACAATAGGAGCCTGAACTCATAAGGGACAGAGAGCTAACACTTGGTCGACTTGGCGCGGAAACCTGCTCCCGCGCCAAGAGGTTACACAGCTATCCTTCAATTCTAGGGTGCGGCGCGAGCGCGGGCTCGCACAGGGAGCAGCATGGCCACTCAGTCCGCGAGGACATCGAGTAGGAGACCCACAGTGCCAATATAAGCGGGCAAAAAAGCACTAGCGTTTAGGTTTTAGTGTGTCGAAATATGAGACGAGAAACGCCTGTTGTGTGATGTCATCATATGCTATCACATTCTGTCTGCCTCCCATCCCATGTTTTTTCAACTTGCATGTGTGGTTTGAATGTGCAAGCATTTGTGTGTGGTGTGTTCTGGAGTTTGGGAATGTGTTTTGTGTTATTCTGTCTGAGCAGGTATTTGTGATAATAGATCTTGAGAAGATCTTTCCGACGCAACAAGAATCGCTTCAATCGGAGCAAGAACGCGAAAGCTATGAAGATTCAAAGTTCATGAGCTTGCGTTACAATTGCGGCGGTTACTAAGTGAAGTTGTGGGGTGACTTTATATGGAGTTGGGACCTTTGGGGTTGGGGAAACTTGTCACTCTACTGTAACAGCTGCAAATTGGTTGGGAACAACCAAGCTAGGTTGGCAAGGGTGGCCAACTTGGATGGATTGGTTGGGAAGGGACAAATGTCAAAGTTGGGGTTCCTATAGGGAGGGAATCTTTGTGCTTATGGGGTTTCCTTGGTTGGGGACTCTCTTGGGACCTTCCCTCTCATCCCTCTCTTCCTATCCCAACCTTTCTCTTGCTCCTTCTAATTCCTTGTGAGATTCTTGAACTTTGATTGAACTCTTGAGATTGAGTTAAGTTCTCCTCCTACAGCTTACCCCCTAGTGCGTCGAAAGCCATAGCGTCGCGAATACTTCATCAATCAACGTGATTCAAATTGGGAACGGTAGCTGAGATCAAGAGCTACAACATATCCAAGTTTCGCGACATTCCAACGGCTAGTGTTTTGTCGACGTCGTTTCTTGTGAAGACGACTTTTCTGTCCAGAATTTCGGATTTATATTTTGAGTAATTCTAGCTCCTAAGTTCACCTAGACTCTGTCCTTAATCCTAACAAGTGGTATCAGAGCTGTATTAAGGACGTTGAGAGGAGTCTACAGAAGTGTGAAGACCCTTCTAGACCCACCATGGCCTGTGGGTGTGCCTAAGTGGTGTTCTAAAGGTTGGATGTGTCTTCCGCTAAGGGAAACTCTGCCGAAATTTCGTGGACGCCGACACTTGTGAAAATATCGAGGGAGCTGAGTGTGGACAGCAAAGGGGGGCTGAAATTCGTCATTTCTCAAGGAGAAGATGAATGAGAGAGGAGGAGATGCTAATGGAAGAGGAGCTGTAGCTGAGAAGACAAGTGAGCCGCCGCCATCAAAAGTTGAAGCTTTGGATGGCTCCAACTATGAGGAATGGAGCGGACGGATGAGGAGTGCCTTCAAACGCTACAAGCTACTGAAGATTGCTGTTGGGGAAGAGAAGATGCCGGAAGAAGGCGAAGCACGTGAACGGTGGATTGAGAAAAGCACGGTGCTTTTCGACCTCATCCTTCAATCGGTCAACAAGGAGATGTTCGAGCACATCAAGGATCTTGTGGAAGCGGATGATTCGGGTCCAAGGGCGTGGAAACTACTACGCGATGTGATTCAGCCCAACACTCTCCTGATGGTGATCGTGCTCGAGAAGGAACTTGCTGCCATCTCCATGCGACCAGGGGACGATGTGAAGCCGGTCCTTGACAAGATCAAGGACACCTATGCAAGGATGGCAGCAGCGGGCAGCAGTGTATCTCAGCTGCAGCAGTGCACCAAGATCATCTCGGTGTTGGACAACTCTTGGGACAACCTCATCCCCACCCTCAACTCTCAGCAAGATCAATGGACACCTGAGTGGCTAAGGCAGCAGATTCTGCAGGAGGACTTCCGCAGACGCCATGTGGGAGGCGGTGCTGCCACTAAGACTGCTGAGGGGTATGGAGCTGCAGGGCGCAGCAGAGGAAGAGGGGGTTGGAAAGGCCGAGGCCGTGGGAGAGCTTTGGCAGAGGTAGAGGCCGAGGTGACTATAATGAGGGGCATGGGAGCTCTAGTGGCAGGGGGAGTACCAGAATGGAGGGCACGTGCTGGTACTGCAAGAAGGTTGGGCATCCTTGGTTCAAGTGCTTCAGCAGGCTGGAGGGATGGGCACCTCCAGGCATGAAGCCGCCCAGTGGTGAACGCGCACAAGGTGGCGCTGTGCAAGGCTCAGGTGCACAAGGTGAAGGTGCACAAGGTAATGCCTATCCTGGTTTGTTTGTTATGGTTGAGGATGTGCATGGGCATGAGGGTGATGTGGGATCTGTGGGAAAGGTTGTGATGCACCCTCTCACGCACTGGGTGATTGATTCGGGTTGCACCAGTCACATGACCCCACGGGCAGATTTGCTTGATGAGGTAAAACCCCCTGGGAAGATTAAGTATGTGGCAGCAGCGTCAGGTGCTTTGCTCCCCGTGATTGGTGTTGGGAATGCCAAGGTTAAGGGAGCTAATGGGGAGCTTGTGGGGCTTGGGAATGTTCTGCTGGTTAAGGCTTGTCTGCTAACCTTCTCTCTGTGCGACGACTGCAGAAGAGCAAGGCCGAAGTGACCTTTGGACCAACCAGCTGCCGTGCTAAGCTTGGGAAGAAGGTGCTGTGGAGTCTGGAAGAGGAGACCAGCTGCATCAAGGACCTGTGGCAGCTGCCCATCATCCCATGGAATGGGAAGACTCCAACAGCAGCAACGGCAGCAGCGGCAAAGGCAACAGCAGGAGGAGATGCAACTGCACCAACTGATGGGGTCCTGGAAGCAGTCAAGAAAGTGCAGCAGCAGCAGACACATGGTGAGGTGCTTGCTGGTGTGGATGCGAGTGCGGCATGGGCTAAGGCTTCACCAAGGAGTGGAGAGGCCGATTGGGAGACATGGCATGAGAGGCTGTGTCATGTGAACTTCCCTATGCTGCAGAAGTTGGTGAAGGATGGGAGCCTGAAGGCTTGGAGGTGAAAGGGGGAGTGAAGGAGATTGGGAGCTGCCCTACATGCTTGGAGACCAAGTTCTCCAAGTTCCCCTTCAACAGCACTACAGGACCAGCCAAGACCCCACTTGCACTTGTGCACATGGATGTGGTGGGGCCCACAAGAGCCCCTTCCCTCTCAGGCAGCCGCTATTTCTTGACAATTGTGGATGACCACACTCGGCAGTGTGGGTTTACCCTTTGAAGAGCAAGGGGGAGGTGGCAGCGGCTGTCCTTAAGGAGTGGATGCCTAGAGCTCAGAGGGAATGCGGACACAAGGTGAAGGTGATCCGTAGTGACAATGGTGGGGAGTTCATTGGAGCTGATTTTGAGGGGGAGTTGAAGAGGAAGGGGATCCAGCATCAACTGACAGTGCCCTACAACCCGCAGCAGAATGGCGTGGCTGAGAGGTTCAACAGGACCCTGCAGGAGGGGGCACGCACTCTCCTTGGGCGTGCAGGGCTGCCTGATCCGTTTTGGGTGTCTGCACTGAGGCAGGTCGCCCTTGTGAAGAATAGGGTGCTGGCTACAGTTGGAGATAAGGAGTGGATCCCATATGCCAAGTGGTATGGGAGTGCTCCAGCGGTGAACATGCTGAGGGCATTTGGGTGCATGGTGGTGTTTCATGTGCCCAAGGAGAAAAGGGGGAAGTTGGAGGCTTCTGGAAGATGGGGTGTGCACTTGGGGATTGCAAAGGATCACAAGGGGTGGCTGCTATGGGACCTGACCACCCAGAAGCTGACAGTGTCAAGGGATGTGAAGTTTCTTGAGTCCCTGTACTATAAGGAATGGAAGCAGCAGCAACAGAAGCTTCCATCTACACCACTCATTGTGGAGGCAGATGAGTTGCAGCAGCCTTCAAGACAGGTGGAGGTTGCAGTGTCAGAGGAGGAGATGTCTGGGGTGACTGAGGAAGGGGGAGCAGCTGAAGTGGAGCAGCAGCAGCAGCATGAGTCTCCACCTCGAGTTCCACACCCGCCTGAGCGTCCTAGGAGGGATGTGCGCCCTCCTGTGAGGCTGACCTATGGGGGAAGAGGCAAGCCGAATGTGGTGCAGGCTGGGAGTGTGGTTGAGCAGATTGAGGAAGATGAGATCGCTCACTGCTACTGGGCACCAATCCCTGAGTACATGGCCTTACACCATGGGGCCAAGGAAGTAGTGTGGCTAAGGCGTTTGTTGGAGGAGTTGGGAGTTGGTCAGGAGAAGCCGACAGTTGTGTTTTGTGACAATGAGTCCGCTGTGAAGCTCGCCAAGAATGCTTGTCTGCATGGGCTGACAAAACACATAAGGCCTAAGTGGCATTGGGTGAGGAGACTCCTTGATAAGGAGGTGCGGCTGGAGATAGTGAAGACCCATCAGCAGGCAGCAGATATTTTCACCAAGCGTCTGGCGGAGGCGGATCATTGGAAGGGCATGAAGCTTGCTGGGATGAGTGTGCATTGAGTATGCATGCTTGAGATGTTGGTATGGTGGATGATGGTTGGCAGCCAGAGGGGGAGATTGTTGTGTGATGTCATCATATGCTATCACATTCTGTCTGCCTCCCATCCCATATTTTTTCAACTTGCATGTGTGG